CGTGCTCGACTCTAAAGCCCCGGCGGCCGGAGTGGGAAAACCCGGACCCTCCAGAGTGAGATGCTGTACGTTGTCCCGAGACCACAGTGGGGGTCTTTAAAGTCAATTTCAGAATCAGGTGTCAGACCACACTTTTAGTTTAAAAAAAAAAGTTGATGACTTTAAGTTTCTTAATGAGTGCAGCTGGGAAAGGATTAGAGATGAGAAAGCCACTGAGTCCAATCAGAGGCAGTTCAGCTCCCTCTGAACTTGGTGAATGAAGGCAAGAGCTTTAGAGACGAGCCTACAGGATACAAGTGGGGCTCTGAGCAGCAGAGCAGCGCTCCGACCCCAGTGCCTCCTGCTGACCCACCATGGACCTCAACTCTGCTGCATGTCAACCGGCTCATCAGAAAAGTGGGATAATGGCAGTGTCTGCATTGCACGGTTGCTGGGAGTTAAATGAGTAAAGATCCTTACTCCAGTGTCAGGCACTAGTAAGTGCTCAATAAACGTAAATTACTGGCTGGATTTTCACCAAATTTTTCCTTTGCCGTCTAATCTTTATTTCCCCTATGCCTTGATTTTGAAGTCTATTTAGATTTTTAAAAACTTGTGAAGTATATGTTTCCCTCAGCTTCCCCAAATTCTTTCTGGAATGAGGCAGGGTAGAAACACGAGCACTCATGTCAGCTACTATCCGCTGAGTGCTGACTGTGTGCTCAGAGCCCACCGTGGGGGCTGGGACTTATGGGATGCAGGGAGTGAGGGGGTCGCAAGGATTTGCAGGGGCCCCCTCAGGCAAGGCTGCGTGGGGAGCTAAGGAAATCAGAATTGATCAGAGCCATGGGCCCTGTGTGGAGGTTGCAATCAGGACGTGAAAAAATCATGTCAACTTTGGAAAGCAACCCTGGGATTCTGGAGGAGACCTGGGGTCTCCTGGAGACGACTCGGAAGGCTGAGAAGGGACGGAGGTGGAACCAAGGAGGTGCAGCAGGGATGGCGTCATGGGCGTGTGACCCGCGCAGTCCCACAGGGTCCCCTGCTCAGAGGGCTGCGTCCAGGCTTAGCTTAATACTCTGCTCTCATTGTCCTGACATTCTTAATACTTTTCCAACAAGAGGTTCTGCATTTTCATCTTGCTCTGGGCTCTAAAAATTATGCAGCCAGCCCTACCCTGCAGGGACATCTCATCTGCCTCTACCTCTACCCTTCCAGGTGAGGCAGTCCAGGAGAGGCCAACCTCTCCCTAACATGAAGAAACTGAGGCTTGGAAAAGGTACGCCAACTGTCCCAGGGCCTGGATGGTCAGTGGCAGGGTGACAGCACACGCCAGGTCTTGGGGTTTCAACTCGGGGGCCACCATTGTTGGGGAAGTGGCCACCACTGAGTCCCTGAACGCAGCACTCAGGCTCCCCTGGGCCTGGGCTGCAGGAACTGCCCTCCTCCAACCTACCCCAGGCTGAGCCAGAGGCAGCAGGCGCTCCTGGCCCCTGCCAGCCGGAACTGGGTCCAGGCAGAGCCAACGCCCACGGAACTGGGACACAAGGCCAGTTCCACCACTGCAAGGTCCAGCGATTAACAAAACAGCGCACCAGGAGCAAAGCAAACAAGAGTCAGCTTTGAAGGCCCAGGGTCCCTCCTCTGTACTCTGCCTCCTTCCCCACTACAATTTAGAGGAGAGCACATTTGAGGAAGGAAGTCAGGGGGGGGGGATTTCCCCAGCAAAGGAAGATATGGCATATCAAATCACACCGTGCCTCTGGCTTCCTCAACAGACTCTGAGAGACATTTCCTGGGGGCGAGTGTGGCCCACCACTCTTCTAGGCACTAGAGTCATAACAGTGAATGACATCAATAGACTTCTTTGCCCTAGGAGGCCCTTATTTGAATGCAAGGAAGAAAGAGAGTAAGTATAATAATTAAGTGGGTTACACAGTGTTAGGAAATACGGGTGCTTTGATGAAATAACAGAAAAGGTGTAAAGAGCGCCCCAAATTTATTGGGTGCTTACTCTGTGTCTGATGCTGTTACACACATTGACTCAGTTAATCCTCTCCACAATGGGCACTGCTCTCATCCCCACTTTAGACAACGCACACAGGAGGTAAGGCACACAAAGTCCCACAGGCAGTCAGAAAACAAGGAGCACTGATTAGAAAGGACAAGAGGTTTCCTTTCCCCCTCTTCCTGATTTTGCTTTTTCTTTTTTAAATTGAAATATAGTTGATTTATGACGTTGTGTTAGTTTCTGGTGTACAGCATAGTGATTCAGTCATACATTCAGTTATATATTCTTTGGGGGATTAGCAGATACACACTACTAGATATAAAATAAACCACAAGGACCTACTGCATAGCACAGGGAACTATATTCAGTATCTTGTAATAACCTATGATGGAAAAGATTTTGTTCTGTTTTAAGGGTGCAAAAGAAGCAGGAAGCCTGGTTTTCTCTCCGGCCTCTAACTGGGAGAGGGGGTCCAATCAGAGTAGGCCACTCTCCATTCACCCATAGTTTTTAAGAGATCTGATGGGGTTGTTGGACTCTCTGAGTCCACCCTTTCCTCCCAGAGCTAAGGCTTTGGAGCTGACAGTCCCCAGTTCAAATCCCAGCTCCACCAGCTCACCACAGCCTGTCCCCGGGCAAAGGAGCTTCCACCTGGCAGTCTCCCTTTCCTCTGATTTAAAATGAAGATTAAAACTCCTTCTCACAGGGGACAAGGGAACAGACGTCAAGTCTGCGCCCCCACAAGGCTTGTACATTGGTGGACACCCCACACACTCTGGATCACCATACCCCCACTCCTGGGACCCCAGGATGCCCTCCTCCCTTCTCCTCTTGAGGGCTGAAAGGGCAGAGCCACATGGCACCCAGCTCTGCACAGTGGGGTACATGGCAGAGGACTGAGCACAGAGCAGACACTCAGTAAACGTCTGATGAATGAACATTGAAGCGGAGGAAGGTGTGTGGGACGGTGGGTGGACCCTTCCTTAGAACCTGAGCCCTGTGATGTACAGATCTTAAGAAGTGCAGGTTACTAGGCTCATCCTCAAAGGTGCCAGTGTGAAGTGTTGAAATCCATTCTCACTGTTCAAGTGGTGGCATGGGCCTTCCAAGAAATTAATTAAAACATCTCATTAAGCTGAGGCCCCTAGGGAATCTGGACATGCTAAACCTCCAACTCAAGGGGCACAGGTCAGGAGCTGTGCATGACCTGGGACCCGGGCCCACTCTTTAGTCTCGCTTCCCTGAGGTCCAGGACAAGACCCTTAACCCTCAGGCCTCAATTTCTTCCTCTTAAAATGGCAGGGGTTAGGTGCAGAGTGAATGAATTAAATGCACCAAAGCAATGTCTTCCCCAGCAAGGTCAAACTCACCAAAACCTACCTGATCACATGGAGATGGGACTAGGGGCAGGAATTATCAGTATGGGTAAAGGGAGGCTTTCTGGAACCAGGAACTGATGTGCCAGCTACAGCTCTGTCATGGTCCAGATGTTAACTGTCCACATGAGGACTGCCCTTGAATTCCATCAGGGGGGCTCTCCTTGCTTTCAAACTACCAGGGGTCTTTAAGTGTGCATCTGAGACACTGGTGCCAGCCCCAGGGCTGCATGGAAGGGGCTGTTGGTGGGATGACACTGGTGTCCAGGGCAGGCTGAGTACCACACAGTCAGTGCGAGAGGTCCAAAGCCAATGTTCCCTCCAGGCCTAAGCCCCTAAACCCCAATGTGCCCACGTGCCATGGGGGGTCTCCGCCAGGCTTCTCTTCCCAGGAAGACTCTCACATTATCCTGACTTCATTCACACCTGTAGAGAGGGAAGGAGCAGGCAGGCACCAGAATCCCCTATTTTGCGGATAAGGAAATGGCCTCACGGAGAGGCTGCTTGTCGACTAACGTCCCACTTTTGAGCGCTACACCCTACTGGACTCTGAGTTAAGCACTTCCCATGCACTCAGTCCATGCAGGTGGGACTTTATTTTTAGCCCCAATGTGCAGGTGGTGACACAGAAATACTGAGAGGGCTCAGACATGTGCCTGAGTCATCTAGCCGAGCAGCTCAGGCAAGGTCTGAACCCAGAGCCTTCGCCCCTAACATCTGGACTAGAACGAGCTGCTCGTGAAGAGGGCAGAGCTAGGATTCTAACTCAGCTCCTTCGCCCTAAAGCCCTGCTGTTTTCCAGGCCGTACAGCCACAGTGTGGCTGCCTCAGGCCAGGGCATCCCCTAGGGCTCCGCACCTCAAGGGAAAGTCTGGTGGAGACCCCTTCTCAGGCAGGCTTCCAAAGGCGTAGCCCAGCACGACGTGGGCCAGGAGGAGGCTGGCCCCCACAAAGGGCCCATTGTGGTGACTGCAGAAAGCCAAGGCCAGGCCCGGGTGGGCCCCGCGGCCGAGCCCTGCCCACAGCTCCCTGGCCTCCTCCCCTCCCCCACAGAGCCCCCATACCCAGAGTACAGGACTAGGGCTGGCTGGGGGACAGGCCTCCTGTTCGGCCCAGCCGGGGGGAGCCCGAGGCTATGGAAACATGAAACCCTTCAGCTGCTGCCTGGCGGGATGGGGCTGCAGACCCCTGGGGACTTATCCAAGGTGCCCTGGGCGCACCTGTCAGCTGGGGTGGGGTCCACAAAACGAGGCTCTGTAGAGGGGACGAAGTGGATGGTTTGCTGGCTCCCATCTGCGGGAGGGAGGAAATCTGTATCCCAGGATGGGAGGAATGGGATGCGGGTTTGCGAGGTGTCCGGGGAGCCTGAGGAAGGGGCTGGGGCTCCGCGTAGGGAAGGGGTGGAGCGGCCGAAAGGTGGGTGGCCTCGCCTCCCGCTGCAGGAGGGAGACCTCCGCGGCTCCCGTTGGCTTTGTGTGCGGCAGGGGGCCCGCCTGGGGTCCCCGAGGGCCTGCAGACGCATGCACAGCGCTGGGGGCCGCTGCTGCGTTCCAGGCGGGAGGGGTCCGCGGCGTGCCCGGGCATCCTCCGTGCTCGCGGAGGGGGCTCCCCGGTGGCGGGGTTGCCACACTCACCTCCTGAAGTCAAAGGGCATCGTGCCGCCGCCGTCGCCGAGGGTGGGATTGCTGCAGGCCAGGTGGGCCGCGGCGCCGCGTGGGTCCCAGCCGGCTGCCAACACCTCCTCCGGCCGCCCCGCCCCCGCCGGCCGCCCCCCGCCCCCCGCACTC